TGACCCTATTAACTGCTTTAGCTTCTGTGTCTTTAGAGTGTTTATGTGGCAAAAAGTTTGATGTGCAAACATTTCTCCTCAACTTTTGCAGCAGAACAAGGATTTCCGTTGCATTTCTTATAATAAAAGAAAATTACAAAATACATTACTTTTTTTTCTCAGCAGAAATGTTATATTAAAACTGGTTTAGTGCTTCTAAATCAGGCAGAGCGTGATTTAAGTGAAGTGACTTTTGATCAGCTTCACAAAGCTGAAGTAAAAAAAATAAGTTCAAAGAATCCACTGAAACAACCTGATTAACATCTAAAAATATGACATTTGACCTGCAAAAAATCTGATCTGAATGACTCACAATCCTCACTGGTAACAAATCGATTTAACCACCTACGCACTAATTTAAACATTTATAGGTGAACTGGTTTCATTCAGTCGGCTGCTGACTGATGTTCTGATGACTTGTTCAACAATGCAGGAGGCTGCATTCACACCTCACCGACATGCTCCTGACTCCCACTACATTCAGGAGGACTTCTTGGAAATCCAAAGGTTACATTGCAGGATTTAAGCAACTCTACACTAAAACGGCCCTCATGTGGATCAGTGCAACTCAACCCTATGAAACCGCCATGTTGGCCTGTGCAGAAGCAGGTGTTACAATCACAGCCTTCTGCCGGTTGCTAAAGGAGACACAAGGTGTTCAACTGAAAATGATGAAAGATTCATTTTGATTCTATTAATTAATGAGGTCAAAGAAAAATGGAGGGCAAGTGGAAGCACTGAAGGAAAACCCTGGGATGATTTGCTATCCAGAGTGTTAAACATGACACACCGGAGCCACTCGAGACGAGGGAAGAATCTAATTGAGCTAGCATTGAATTTCACACATGCAACAAGAGAAATTGAGTCACTACAAAGAAGAAAAATGAATGACATGCAGTAAAAGAACATAAATGAGCTGGACTAAAATTTAAAATCATGAAAAGGAATCCTGTTTTTATGTGTACGCTGACTCAGATGTGTTTGCTATAGCGTTTATGTCAAAATAAAAGGTCTCTTTTTCCTCTATTTTAAGCCCCAAATATTACATGAACATGCTTTTGCACTTTAACAACCCTACTATGACAACAAAGTTTTAAAAGTAAGTTGCTACATTTTATATTACAATCTGGCAGCACTGTTTAAGGTCTGCTGACTAAGACTGATGATGCTCGTTCCTGAGGTCTCATTTCACTCTGCACAGATCAGCCACCCAATCTGATGTGGCACACACACAGTTTCATCATGTGCAAGAATTCGACTGAAGATTTACCGATGTCCTGACACGGCGAGGGAAGCTTTGGTTCAGCTGAACTCTGATTCTAAAACGGCATCAACTATCATTCTAATCTAAAATAGCACCATCATTTTGTCCTGCTTCCATTTCTGACGGCTTTTCCCTGACTAAACCTTTCCCTGATCTCCTCAGCTACAGTTTTCTGATCTGTTTTCATTCACTTGTCAGATTCTACTTTTGCTTTAGCTCTGTCTGGTCCTGGGCCTCTTGGTGCCTTCGCCTGCACCTCAGGTCCTACATCGACCCCACAGTGGGACACGTTACATGAATAACAAAAACAAGGACAGGATGAAAACACAACTCAACTCATTTTATGGAAGTTATGGAGTCATGTCAAGACCTCAAAGTGTCCAACCCACTGCCTGGTCCCATCCCCAACTCATTTAGTGCATCGTCAAAGGAAACCACTGGTTTAGATGTTAGATGTTTATGATAATGTTAATACAAACCTTAAACATTTGTGTAAATAAAACCAGTTTCACGTTGAAGAGTGCAGGTGTATGGTAAAAGGTGGTGCTGCTATTGCCCCCTCAGTGAAAGCAGCCCCAACAACAGACACAGCTGCTATTCCAGGGCCGTGGACACTTGAAACCATTAGGTTCAAATTTCTGCATCTTATAATAGGCTTGTTTGCTAGCCAAATGCTCACCGACAAAAAGTTCACGCTACAGGTCCCTAATTGCGGTCACACCCTTACCACCCTTACCCCCCACTGAGTAGAGGCCGATCACAACCTACTCTCCAGAGATGGACCTCACTTCCTTCTTCAGATTAACTTAATTATCAAACATTTTGGAGTGAATTATCTGGGTAAAGATTATAAATAATCACCACCTGTTATAGGTAGCTTCCTGAATAGCCTCTGTCCAGAGAAGTAGAGTTTACAACTGACAGGACTGACGAAGTAATGGTTAGTCCATCAGACTGCTGCCATCTTTAAAAAGAACCATCACTGAGAAACATTTTTTTACTTGTTCTCTTTGTAATATGACTGGTCGCTTTGAGTTTAATGCTCTGGCTGAATCTAAAAATCACTTCTACTCCTTTTTCCTGCATTAGCCAGAGATAGAAAATAGACGGGGAAACGCTCGGGTTGGAAAAGCCATTCAGATCTGCGTCACTTTGAAAATTAACATTTGTGGACTCACCCATCTGGGCTCATGACAGGGAAGGCGGTTGTTGATTTACCGTTCAGGAAACAGCAGAGAACGTCTCAGCTGCTAGAAGCTAACCATTAGCACTAGCAACTCCAAACCATGGCAGATAAGGCTTGTGTTATTTGTGGAGATCAAACGGAGTCAGTGGTAGTCTCGTTAAACGGCTTTCAAATAAAACAGGAAGCACAAACTTTTATAAAATAACATTTGAATAAATCGCAATGAAACCTTGAAGATTACAGCTGCTTAACAGCAACCTGTTATGGGCTCGACACACGGGAAGCGACAAACGACCGCGATCAGCGAAATTTGTCGCCGTCACTTTTATTACCTGACACACGGGAGGCGATCCGCGGCAGCGGCCAGCGGCAAAGCCGTCTACGTGTTCTGTTCCATGGCGAAATCGAAACTTCCGTTGTTTTGTTTGGCTGTGTCAGGTTGGAGGGAATTAAGGTTATTTAAGCGGTTCAGAGTTAATAAAGCGGTAGATATGATGTTTCACAAGGTGCTGCTAGAGTTACGTGAAATCTTACTTCTGATTTTACTATAAAACATAATAATAATCTACTTCTCCTCCATGTTTGCTCAGAGGTGTACGGAGCATCCTGTCCACTCATTGGTCAGTGAATGAAACCTCCGTTGATTGGTCTTCGTCCGAGCGACAGCGATGAAAAGTTGAAAATGTTTCAACTTTCTGGGATCGCGTCGCTGGGTCGCACGTGCACGAGTGCAAAATTTCACACGCACGTTTTTCGCGTTTCGCTTAGTAGGAGGGAGACCTGCGATTATCGCTTTGTCGCGCATGTCTCATTGAAAATGAATGGAGGAGAGGCGATGTTGCCTCCCGTGTGTCGAGCCCTTTTGTCTTGGCTTGACTCAAACTAGCTGTTAGCTTATCAGTCCTTTTGAACACAACTATTTCTCCAAAAAGAGGTTGTTCAGGAGGCTATCTGCAGCAGGCAATTATTAATTATGTTTACATGGAAGCACGGAGGCTGAATGATCTATTTACAGGAGTAACGTTCTTTAAAATAACCATCTAATCTACTTTGTACTTTCTCACAAGTCTGTTCTATACCAAACTACAGAAGAAAAGCGGTGAACCACATGAACACTGGACTTGTTCAGGCCCATGTGCAGATATAATTAGGTCTTTTTCACGGCAGGATAAGTGCTGGAGATGTGTTCTCGCAGCCAGAGGAACGAGCAGACAGCAGGTCATTTAGCCGTAATTCCACAGTTTTCTTCACAACAAGCTAAACTTCCTGATGAGCATTTTTGTGGTTTGTCTAATTACCACATGGGTAAATGTGTACACAATGGTGGAGAGGGAGTTAAAAGGAAAAATAAATAACAGGTCAGCGGAAAAAACTCACAAACTCTTGCTTGGGAGAAAATTCACTTAACGACCAAGTTCAATTGTTTTTCAATAATTTGCAGTGGTCTCTAGTGTAAATAAATGCCTCGTGAGTCTCCTGTTTCAGGAAGTAGAAGTGAGCCAGAACAGAGGGGAGCTGAACACAGCAGGGTTTGGAGTTTTATATCCTGGTTTTTGGACATCTTGCCTCTGATAAGCTAACAGCAACGTGACTCTACCACTGACTTTGTTTGCTTTGCAACAACAGGAGGATCTTACGTGACGTCAATGTTTATGTTTCTCGAATTGCATAATGGGACTTTGTGGCAAGAAACAAAGTGTTTTGCCTATAATTTGGTCGTTCTGCATGTTTGGAGGAGGATTTAGTGAAGCAGATGGATCGTTCTTGTGGTTGGTTGGTTGTTCGGTCCACGGAGGCTTGATAAAAAGTTTTATTGGATTTTCTTCCGTAAACGACCGTGAAATACAAAGGAGATGAGAGGAAGCGACGGTTGAGTGTTTATGGGGATTTCACCCGCAAACTCTCTTAAAAGTTAATGTCACGTATTCATAGCAGGCCATTTTGTGTTTGTTTTGCCACACAGCCACTCGCGCACAAAGATGTCAACAAAGATCCTCCTATAACATAAGCCTGGAGGAGTTCTGCCATGTGGTGGAGTTGCTAATGCTAATGGTTAGCGTCTACTATCAGACACATTCTCTGTTGTTTTCTGAAAGCTAAACCAACAACAGCCTTCGTCGTTGTGAGGCAAGATGGGTGAGTCCATGAATGTTACTTTTCAGTGTGACGCAGATCTGACTGGCTTTTCTAATACGAGTGTTTCCACATCTATTTTCTATTTGTAGCTAATGCAGGAAATAGGGGTAGAAGACTATTTTCACTATTAGCCTGCATGTGAAACTCAGAGTGGCTGATCATATTTCAAAAATAATAAGCAGCAAATGGTTTTTCAGAGAACTTTGCTTTTAAAAGCATCTCCGGAACATTTCAGAATGTCAGTGTATGTGTGGGAAAAGACTGCAATGATCTCCCTTTTCATAGTTTAGCCTTAAAAAGGAATGAAAGTAATTCTTTTTGTGTGAATTTAGTAAATGTTCATGTTTGTAATTCCCATGCAGCTCATGCACTGACCTGTTGAGGCCCTCCGCACTGCAGGAAAGGCTGACATGTGGCGAGGTGGGCTGCACAGTATCGTTTTGGGGCTGAGGTGTTGTGTCCATCACTTCTGGGCTGGGACTCTTCAGGTCTGAGGTCAGGGGCAACACTATCGGTATGGAGAAGGACTGAACATGGGGCATTCCACCGGAGGGGCTGGGCTGACAGACATCTGGAGTCAGGCCGTCATTCCTCTTCTTCCTAACCTGTTTGACAGACAGAGACAGGCATGGTGAATATGAGAAAAAAAAAACAGACACAAAAAGGCAAAGAAGTTTCAGATTTTAGCACAAAAGGGACCAAAGTCGAGGGGTGCTCTTTGGTCCTACCGTCCTGACTGCGAGTGGGTACAAATTGTGTGAATCTCCGACTCTCGTGTAGGAAAAGAACCGCAGCCTAATTACAGCAAAATTCTGAAAGTTTTCTTTCTGCATCTTCGCCCCCAGTCGCTTTGCAGAGCGAGTCAAAGAGCCTCGTCCGTCTACACAGAGAGAGCACAGCCACTGCTGCTGATGTACGCCGGAGCCAAATCAGTGTCCGGCTGTGGTAAACAGAGGCTGAAATGGGTCTGATACCAGCAGCTTAACCATTGATAATAGTCTAAAACATCCTACGTTAAAAGGCTGCATCTGTAATTAGAGCTGAATTAGAAAGGCTTTTGTTTTCTTGTCCATAGAGCAATTATCAGAGGAACATTTCCATTTAGGGCTCATTTAATGGCTTACTTACAAAGAACTCTATCGGTGAAGCATCTATTTGGCTGTGTACCTAATGGGTTCAACATAATAAGCTGCACAAACTTCTTTAGCTTGGATGGATTTTGCCCCTTGGAGCTTTGGGATTGATTTGGCTACATTTGCCATTAGGAACAAAACCTACAGAGATGGAAAACGAGGGCAAATGACTTTGGACGTCAGCTTGTTAAAAGCTCGCAGGTTAGAGTGATCATGGAGAGAAAGAGATGGTTAAAAAGGGCGGTAAAAGATAACAGACTGCTGCTACTGCCGTTTCTAGACCCTTATTTTGTTTATTCTGCATTAGTACTCACTCGTCACAGGTGTAAAATGCTGTCATAAAAAATTCAGCTGAAAACTTCATCAATCTTTTACCGATTTTCATTTGTGTGAGAAGCACCTTGTGGTCAACGTTCAGGTTTCTGGTTTCATTCTTTTGCACCTCGATCAGCTCAAACATCAATGAGCAGGCGGTAAACCAGACCAGAAGAGCAGACGGGGATGAAATGTGACACCACAAAAGGAGAATATGTCCTGCTTTCTGCATCAGGGTTTAACACAAAAACATGGGTTTGTCAGGAAGAATTCCAAATAAACGACTAAATAAAACCTGATTATCGTCAGCTGGGTGAAAAATGGGAGTGAAATCTCTGACCTCACCTATTTACTCACCGGATACATCTGGTTTTTCACACAAGTTTCTCTCAGGTGTCTGTGGAATCTGATCCACACACATTCTTGTTTTCACAACAAAATTCAATTTTAAACAGCGCTTGTATTACAAGCACTTTGGTGCAACAGCAGGGAGGGGAGCTTGACATTTGCCCTCAAAAAACTTGAGAAGTTTGTTTTTATATGGTTACCATAGTTACAGAGGGGTAAGTCATGATGAGTCACAAGCTCACCAGCAGTGATGGTGGTGTCTTTCTGAGTTCGAAGAACCAACAACGTGAAGTTTAGGGCTCTGACAGTTTGTGAGTTTGTGCATTAACAACTTTAACTATTCATTAAGGGCACAAAAGGCACTTTATAAATGATGATGATGAAGTGAAAAAGCGATCCAAACTAGTCTGGCCCTATGGCCTGTAATGGGGTGAAAATTAATTTAAGATACTTAAATTAATAGCAAAAGTTTATTTATTAAACAGAAGATTCAGTAAGATTCTTTTCATTCGATAAAAGGAAATGCAACCCTTTTCTGTGTTTCGTGTCAATAATGAGGCAAGTTTGAAAATGAAGAAATGTATTACTAACAATTTTTAAACTGAAAATTTGAAACCACAATTATAAAAATAACAATTCATGGATGGCAATTTTAATGACAATTCTTTAACAGCTTTGATATTAAACTAGTTTAAAAGCAAACCTGTGACTGAATGGAGCTAAAAATGAGAATGATGAGTTTTTGGATGCGTGAATGACGTTCTCAGAAGGTTTCTTTCAGAGAGCTTGAAAGCATTCTGGGTGAAATGATGTTTTGCGGATAACTGAGTTATTTTGAGCGAAACAGCATCAAACGCAGCCTCGTGTTCTACCTCACCCAAACAGCTGACCCTCTTGTGGATCCGGAGATCGGGAGGATGGGTTCATCCAAGATGACACTCGGGGCTGGCAGGGAAGACGCGAGTGTCCGATGCTCTGGTCCAGAGTGGTAGCTGGGTACACGGTGGTCAAGCGTTTGGCAGATGAACGTTCTCGTATTTAACTTAACTTCAGAAATCAATGACTCTGGGAGAGTCTTTCGTTAGTTCGTTAGTTTCGTTTGTTCTTTAGCCATTCTTGTTGGCGTGACAGAACAGTAGGCAGAGGGTCAGGGCGGCCGTCCCCGACTCCTCAGGATGATGTCTTGTTCAGAACTGGACATGAAATCTGTGATGGTTCGTTTTTACCAAACTCTCTCAGAACCCCTCCCAGTCTCTCCGGAAGAAAGCTTGCTCATGCGTCAAAAACATGTTATGCAGTTATTGTTTATCTGAACTCTGTGTTAGCTGGATAAAGTGAAGGTCTTCTTTGCGGAACACATCTTTATAATCATTATAGTTAATCATTATTATACCCAAAGCACAATAATCCATTTCATGTAATTAAGATACCTTTATAATGAACCAAGTGATCATGTTGTAATGATTATAATAAACAGTAAAAACAATGAGTTTATTAATTAGTATCTAATTATTATCATCGTGGCTTGAAGTGTCCTTCTTGGGACGGAACAGCAGATACTGGTGTTGTGATCTTGAGCAGACATCGTGGCTCCTTGGGTTAATCTGTGGATTCAAAGTACTGTTTGGCCCACCTTGACCCAGCTGGGCAAATGTGACCTTTGGCACAAATCAGAGAACCTCCATGCCGTTACAAGCCCTATGAGGGGAATGTCGAAGCATTAACAGCAGCCCCAGACCATCACACTACTGCCACCATACTTGACTGATAGCATGAGGTTCTTTTATATAAATTCACTGATTTTTAGACCATGATCTTGAGTCGGAAAGAGGTAGCATGCTTCCTCCAGGTCAGGGACGAGGTCCTGCCCCAAGAGGAGGAGTTTTAAGTATCTCTGGGTCTTGTTCACGAGTGAGGAAAGACAGAGCGCAAGATTGATAGGCAGATTGGTGCTGCGCCTACAACAATCGATCGAACGAATGAACGATCTACGTTCCTACACTCATCTCTGGTCACGAGCTTTGGGTAGTGACCGAAAGAACAAGATCACGGGTACAAGCGGCCGAAATGAGTTTTCTCTGCCGGGTGTCTCGGCTCTCCCTTAGAGATAGAGTGAGAAGTTCGGTCATCTGTGATGGGCTTGGAGTAGATCTGCTACTCCTCCACATCAAGAGGAGACACTTGTGGTGGCTCAGGCATCTGGTTAGGATGCCTATGGACGCTTTTCTGGTGAGGTTTTCCGAGCACGTACAACCGGGAGGAGATCTAAAGGAAGGCCCAGGTCATGCTGGAGGGACTATGTCTCTCAGCTGGCCAGGGAATGCCTTGGGATTCCCCCAGAGGAGTGGCATAGCAACTCAGTCTTGGCAACCCTGCAAGCTCAAATATGATTGGCTTTGGAACCAGGAAGTATGGAGACGGGACAGATTGTTAACAAAGGCCCAATCCCAATACTCGCACTGAGCCCTGCGGTCTTCAGCAACGTGCACTTGGAGAAAGTTTGCAGTAGGGTTCAAATGCGTAGTACACAAGTGTGCAAATAATTGCCTAATTGAGACGGGGAGCATTGCGTCATCGATTGCAGCGCATGCCGTGATGCTGGCCGCTGTGAAACTTTTTTCAAAAACATTTTTAACAACTTTCTAACAAACAACATGTTTGAAAAAATGTTTTACTTCATTGCTGCTTTGTCTAAAACATTCAGAGCATCAACCAATCATCCTAAAATTAACTAATTTAATTAGAAAATACATATTTTCAGAAAAGTAACTTGAGCCTTTTCTCCTGCAGCAATGACTTGTGGGTAATACCCTTGCCCGAGGTCCGCATCGCATCGGACTTGGGTGAAGTGCAGATTAAGGGTGCAATGGGGGTGTGGTCAACTTCCGCACTTGAGTATCGAGACACCCGATGCACTCGCACCCCTGGCTGGGAAAGCGCAAATGAAGGGTGCAAGTGCGAGTATTGGGATTGGGCCAAAGACTTCCTCCTTCTTTGGCTCCTTTAAAAGGAGAAAAGCCGACAACCCTACAGCTGAAATTGAAATCTGATCCAGTGGAACCTTCCTTCCAGCAGGACTGAGACATTAGACTGTTTTGTGATTATTTTGCTGTAGAATTCTTACATACAGATCCTTCTAAAAACATTAGCATTCTGTGATAAAGTTCATTACTGTCTGTAATGTGCTGATAAACATTAGACTTTCATATATATTAGATTCATTACACACAACTTGAAGTAGTTCAAGCCTTTTATGGTTTCTAATACTGATGATTTTGGCATACAGCTCATGAAAACCCCAAATTCCTACACACACACACACACACACACACACACACACACACACACACACATTTTCATCAAGTACAATAAGGAACAAGCACTCTTTCATCAGCAGGTGTTTTTGTTTTGCTAATCTTGCATTACAGCTCATTTATGGAACCAGATGTTTGTCTACATCTGCCTTAGAAACAACATCAGATAAAGTCTGAGCCTCTAAAAGCTGAGGCTGATCATCTACCCTCCTTTTAATCTGTCAAAATGATGGATGAGGTCGCAATGGGTCAGCGTTTGAAGCCAATCATTGCCAACGTCATACATTTTCTCAAAATTACTGAAATATGAACCAAAACCAGAAAAGTCCCTGATTTATCCGTGCTCACATCGGAGACTAAATATTTGCAAGAATGCTCGTCTGCAGAAGCATCCGATGTACTGAAACCCATGTTTTCCTGCAAATAATTGTGATGTTGTTTCCCTTCAGTGTTTCTTTATCAAATCACATCATGTGACCCGAGCAGCAAGGCCACAAGCTGCAGAGGCTGTCTGAGTAATGACCTCAGACTAATCAGCTCCAAGGAAACACAGCAGCTAAGGAAGCAGAGAGAGATTTCCCACAGGACAGGATGAAACCTGGATGGAACTAAGTGTTATTTCCTCTACCTTCTTTTATCTGGTTTTGCTGTTGGACCGCCCACAGGTCCAACAGTTTCAGGTGCATTTGAGTGTTCGGCCTTTAAATGTGAACAAAGTCATTTAAAATGCACATAAAAAAATGTATCATCAGCATGTTGTTTAAAGCACTGTTGCATTTGCTGCTTTATCAGGAAAGAAGTCATCCTCAAACTGTCACGTGTGTTTTTAAAACTAACTAAAGCTTAATGAATAAATGTCATTACAAGCAGTTCCACTTAAGACCTCTGAGACTTTAAAGATTATACTACGTAGTAAACTCAAGTTATCTGACTCTAACAGCATCTATAATCTCACACAGACTCGCTCTCAACTGGTTTTAGGATTAGAGCCCAAACATGCCAGGGACATGTTGATCGCACAGAGCCATCAGCAGCACTGCTTTATATAACAGGCAGTAAGACTGAAGTGGTGATAATGTTTTGCACGTCCCTGTAAAGCGGAAAAAAGATTTTTATCCTTGCATATGGTGCATTTACCTTGAGACGGCTGGAGGACTTCTTTAGGGGTGCATCTGTTACGTTAGCGTCCTTAGACTGGAGAGACAGAGAAAAGTATTGCATTTTTTCATGTTGCAATGATACACTGAAGCTTTATCAAAATGATATAATCAGTTTTCTAATGCGTGCTTTGAAAATTATATTAAGTTAGTGCAAAGAATCAATGTTTGTAGTCTTCTGGTGCAAATCCTGACTGATAGCAGCTCATTTATAGCGTAGAAATCTAGACAGACAGCTGCAGATGCAAACAGATTTTGCTCAACATGTTGGTCTAGCCATGCTCCATAGGAACCTCTGCAGCCCCGGCCAGTCTGGTGGCTGGCCAATCACAGCGCTCTCTCTGTTTGGTGGGCGGGATGTTAGAGCGACTGAGATAAATTAAGATGGCCATGGCTTGTTTAAAATGGCTTTGGCATCAACTTTGGACTCATCAGAATTGGGCTTTTCTTTGAATCAGGAGCAGATAGAGGTTAGTCCTTTAGTCAGAAAAATTATGTATTTGCATCTTCTTCGGTGGTGTGTGGCGGACGACCTTGTTGACTGACTTCTGTAGCGGTCCAATCACAGTGCTCTATTGGTTTGGTGGGTGGGATGTTACTGCGACTGAGTGAAACTAAGATGAGGACGGCTCGATTGAAACAACTTTGGCATCAACTTTAGAGGAGCCTTGACACCTTTTTCTCAAATGCACTTTAATCCCTTTGTGGAGTTTCTGCACACTGATGGTAAAGATCTGTGATGTGATCAAATATAGCTCCACCGTAGGTTGGGGGTCAGTGTGTTCAGGTGCTGGTATGTGAGTGTAAGAGGATCCCTCTTGACTGAGTAGATTCCTATGGGTCTCATGTGGGTCACCGTCCCCCACCCCTGGACACACACACACACACACACACACACACACACACACACTAACTGAAAATTGTTGCTCATCTTGCTGTGTCAGAACAGCCTAATCACATGGGGGACAAACGGCGTGTTTTAGGCTAAAACCATAAAAAAAAAGACGCCGAGAGAAAAGGTGAAAGGTCAGATCCAAGGTGCGCTCAGACCTCGTGATCAGTGGTGATCTCATGACCAGTGAATGTCACATGTCACACAACCAACACCATGTTAACGTCCATTTACTGCAGAGAAAAGGGCCCCTCTAAATGTGGAAGTGCAGAAGTAAAAAATGTAAACAACGAGAGGCTTCAGGTATTTCTGCAGTAATTATTCTTTTTTTTTTTATTACATGACATTTTCTGTGTGTGGACGAGAGATTTAGAGCTCAGAAAGTGATGCGGATGGCGAACCAGTTAGAAGGAGGGAGGTCGCCATTTACTAAGTTATTAGAAGGTTCCAAGTGCCAAAATCCTGTTATGTGTGTGTGTCTGTTTTCAAACACTGTGCTGGATTTGGTGATCCCTTCGTCTGGGTTTAAATTTTGGGTCTTTCATTTTAAAAATTCACTCACAGATTATTACATTTTTGCAAGGATTTAATACGTTAAAGAGCAAGTCGCCCCCAAATAAACTTTTTTTGCTGATAAACTAAATAAACGAGTGTCTAATTGTGCTGCAGACACGTGTCGTCAATAATTTGGCACTTCAGTGCATCTTAGTTAAAATTTAAATATTCTGCCTAAAACTGTCAGTGTTGTGCCGTTGTCAGGTAAAAACTCTGCACTGTATTTTAATTTAAATCTGCAACCGCTATTGGCTAAGAGGTATGCTATGATGTAAACTGGTGCATTATGATGTCACAATGCCTGTGTGTTTGTGTATTTGTTAGCAGCTCCGCCCTCTCGGTCTGCCAGGCAACAGCATTTGTTGCATTTTTAAAACATGAAGTGGGAGTGGAGTTAGAATCTGGTAGGGGTTGACTTGCTCTTTAAGGAGCAATGGAACATGAATTTTATGCTCAGTGTTCAAAAATTGCACGATTTGAAGCAAAGCCTGAATGATGAAATTTGATTTTTTTTTATTTAGTTATTTTTTCCTACAACTGCTACCGAGTGGGTTTTACAGACAGAATTTTTTGTTTTTCTTGGCCTTTTAAAAACGTTAAGAACAAATCTTGGCTTAGATAAATGCACATACTTGTGCATTAAAGGGATACTGTACAACTTTCTCATATTTTTAAATCCTTTTCTTGAGCCAGTTTGTGCTAAAATGACCTTTACAGGGTTAATGAAATATCACTCAGACCCCCACCACCCTCTGTGGCCAGGATCAGCACTTGCAACTTCAGAGTGCCGGTCCGATCTGTTGGACTTAGAAATTGAGCTGACATACCTGGCGCAGCAGTCTGCTTCCAGCATGTTTCCTGCATGTTTTAGATCACAAACACAGCTGATTTGTTTGATTTAGTGATGAATCACTCCTGTAGACACTAATTAAGACTGAAGAGACGTTTCAGCTGTTAGATTAAGGTGTTAAAAAGAGGAACGCACAGTGAGGAGATAGGTTTTGCTTTTGGTTCTACTAAACAAACACTAGGGGGTGCTAAAAACATGCCAAAACTGTCTAGTCCCCCTTAAAAGGCATGTCTAAATTGTGTCTCGCCAGCATGTTGTTGATACTCTAATATTTTAATGTTCAGATTTTAACTGTCTTTATATTTTGAGGAGTTCACATTGAAAAAAATACATTTTGCATTTCTGAATTAAAAAATAATTTTTGCGACTCACAAAAACTTCTGGCTTGACGATTTTGACTCCGTCTTTGAAGAGTTTAGACACCTCTGCCCTACAGCAACCTGTCAGTTCCTACAAAATCCTCCTGATGGATGATATGTTTGTTATTTGAAGCCGATGTTAAAGTATTAATCCAAGCAGCACAAAGATGATACCAGGAAACCCAACGGAGCAGAAACCCAGGAAATCAATCCTGTTTTCAGTCATTAAAACTGCAATAAGACCACCCAGAGAGAAGCTGCTCCAGCTGTAATTTAATATAAGATCAATACTGAAATGAATTTAGCTCCATGTTGTGTAACGTGAATTAAAAAAACCTTCAGGTGGATAAACAGCGGTGTGGTTGTCAACATGTCTGACTCACAGCTGTCCTACCAGCTGCTCCACCGTCTCCTGGTCACCAATCTGATTTAGAAAACCATCATCATCTGGCTCTGTGGTGTAAACGGCACCTGGACAGTTATAATTGTCGGCCATTGCTCCGTCCTGTCTTCTGCTTCTGTCTCAAAGATGCTGCTGTAGCTCTGGATCAGCTTGGCCATGATCTTGTTGCAGATATTTTGGTCCTTTATTGCGTCCAAACCAGGAGCCACGCTGCAAAGAAAAAAAAGGAAAATGTGATGTTTCTTTGAATTATTTACATTTTGGGGTTAGAATTAAAGCTGATCACTTTCTAAGCTGTAACATTAGCATTTTAATCAGGTTTCCACCTGTTCCATCACCTCCTCCCAGCTCGCTAACTAAGCAGCAGGTGTGATGTGACTGAGCAGCTGTGTGGGATGAACATTTGGCAGCAGGCTGTACTGTAAATACAGCTTCAGCACGCTCGCGGCCTGCAGAGCCAAGAACAGGCTGTACAGTATGAATGCCTTCCTTCCAGTGAAACCTGATTGTGTTTCTGCTGGCAGCTCTGGCCTGATCAAACCAGTTTGTCACTGGGAGCACCCACCAGTGGCCAGTTTCAGCTGCAGGACTGTATGCATGATGTAAAACTAGCCGATCAGTGAGAGGCTCTCAGGCAACTGTTTATTTACTAAAGCGATAAAACATACAAGTTAACAGGTGGATAAAATCAACGGTTTTAAATATGAATTATGATTAATTATATTTATTTTTTGTATTTAATCATTTTTGCTTCACTGCAGCAAATAAAACATCTATCAGGAACAGAGCTGTTCAAATGTAAAGAAATGCATTCCCCGGACCTTTAACATCAAGACTGTTGAATCATTTTGTTGTCATGATGCTTTAATTTAAACTGTCATCAAAAGCTACAGCTCCACCTGGTGGCCAGAAACAAACTGACCTCCTTCCTGACTGACCATAACATGACCCTTCACTCATGACTAAAATAATCACCTATTTGTGTTTCTGCTTTCCTCTTTGTCATGAGAAGTCTTGTCAGGTGCTACTGTTCTTTTCGATGCATTTGAGTACGTTTGCAGAACTATTTCCCACTTAAACAATATTATTTTGGTTAAAATTGAACAAAAATCTTAAATTTTCTAGTGGATCTGAAGTAAAAGTTGCACAAACAATGAAAACGTTTAGCTATTTCTGGTACCAAAATAATGATTAGTTGTTCATAATTGATATGAAGACCATTTTATTTACAATCTTTTTGATTTTATGGATCTTTGTGAAGCACACTGTGATTTTTCTCTGTGAAAAGTACTTTCTAAATAAACTTTATTTACTTAAAAGCTGATGTAATTATTGCAAAAATGTTATGTTAATCTACTTCGCTTTGCTGTTGTCAGATCAATCATTACTATGAATCAAGTTCAAGTCACACCCTTTAAAAGTTATGAGGAGCCACTTGAGCGAGGCTGAAGGGCCTGATACTGCAGCTGCAACAGAGACATAGAGGTTTGAACCAGCTGCACACACAGGTACATATAATCTCATTTAACACAACAGAAGCGGAAATTACATATTCTGCTCCTGAAAACTGCAGTAAATTCATATTTTTAAATGATCAAAGGACTGTTTGATCCTTAGTTTGTATTAGATGACATAAATGCATTTGTTTGAGTTTCTGCAAGGTGGACGGGATCAGACTCAGGACAAATGAACATCCCAGTGTGAGTGTGTGGAGTGTTTGTTTGCAGGCGTTTCTCTTTTCAGATGGAAAGTAAAAAGGTGACCTCTGATCTGCTGGGTCCATTGTGTGGTCAGAGGACTCAGACACCAGGCTTCTATCTTGTATTTTATATTATAGGCCAACTGATTTGTAAAGAAAATTATGAGGATGATCTCAACTTCTTTTGCTCTTCGGTCTGAACAAGAAAATGTGCTATAAATTAAACAGCCTTTGCATAAGACGGTAAGTGCTGCTGGTGGTAAAATGTTGTATTTGAAGAATAACAAGTAAGAATTTATCTGATTTACTAAAATGTATCTTAAAAGAGCCAACTGAGATGTAAAGCACTGATTTAAAAAAAAAAATTTTTTTGGGAGGGGTGTGTATTTTTAATTTCACCAAAATATAACCTAAGTGCTTGAAATAAATAAACAACTAATTAGCTTAAAAAACAAACAAACAAATGACTCTGTTTTTTTAAATACATTTTTAAAAAAATGCATCTTTGTATTATTCACTTAACGTGACATCGCTCAGAATAAAATTAGGTGATTTTGGTCAAAATTGACTTTTCTATCATTTTGCAGATAAACTCTTTGTGTGTTTAAGAATGAGGAAAAACAGAGATGGTTAGATGCAGAAAAGGTACGTGCTTAAAAACAAAAGAACTAAACTGTGGACTTCAGCGAACTGGTTACAGCTGGTTACAGCTGGTTAAGCAGGTTGGTGCAGCTGCTTCTGCTGCATCGTCATTTTTCCTGCTTGGTTAGCCTGGACAAACACAACCAGTTAGGTAAACATCAGTCATTTTAACTGGTCAATACACTAATTGGGTTACCACTCATTTCTACTGAAAACACAAATTTTCCACTCACTGGAAGACACTGGGTCCAAACACAGTGGCGAGGTTGTGAGCGGTCATTCGGTTGTCTTCATGGTTTTTCTCCACAAGCGTCAGGAAGTGACAGAGGTAACACAGAAGGCTGTGGTGAACATCTGGCAGCTGCTGGAGCAGGTCCCTCAGAACCAAACAGGAACCAGCATCTCCACTTTCTGCTCATGCAAGAAAATAATAATAAAAAAACCAAGGTGTTGGGTTTTTGTTTACATTTTCTTCTTTCAATCTATGTCATCCGTTTCCTGAAAAAGATGCTTTCTTCTTCTAATTGTGTTTCATAGAAAAGTGACTAAATTCCCTAAAAGTCTGCTCACATCTGTAGGATCCAAAAAGATTCTTTATCCACAGAACAAGAAGAGCTTGTATCTGGAAGGTATGGTTTTCTGAGGGATGTTTGGTAAAAGCCTAAAAAAACATGTCAAATTCTGATTCGCAGAAATGATAAAATCTGGATTTAAAACTAGAGTGACTGCCCAAGTCACTCAGTTTCCAGCTGACACTCAAAAGTGGCTAATTCGGAACCAGCCTCTGTTGAAACATCTCTTTGACGCACAGTCAAACCCGTTTGCACGCTGCAAGCTGACACAGATATGCGACTCCTTAAGAGTCCATCCGTTTGAGACGCAAAACAAGTCCACCTGTTTGTTGTGACCTGGAGACATCTCTGGACTGACCTGGTCGCATTGTGGTAAATCTACGAACTTCGATGCCTTGGGGTCTCCCGACCACCCCGACATCTCGGATCCAAAAGAGGGTCTCCTTCAGGGTATGTAGACACAACAAGATTGCATCTGATGCCGTTCTATGAATAATCAACTCTCTAGTTTATAGCAGACAACTAATTCTTTTACACCCAGAACTCAGTTTCTTCCGGACACAAAGGTTCTGATAAACATCTACTCCACATTCCATCACCACACATCACATTCCATCACACATCATTGTTTATAGCTTGTCGTGTATTATAAGTAGTCTAGAAAATAAAGTTTATTTTTAAATTATATACTTGACTTTGTCTGAATTAATACGAAGTGTTTATGGTCCCTGAATAAGCAAAAAATCCTAAATTCTTCTGGTTGAACATTCAAAGATCAATCAGCTTGATATTCTATATTTATATAGAATCATCACATCTTATTGGTCATGATTAAACCCCATAATTCACTACACATCTGTCTTAAGGAAAATAAATGGACAGAGACAAGAAAACTGAATTTCCTTCACAAGTGTGCCTATTAGTCTGACAGAAAAAAAAGTCCTACAGCCCAACCACCACACACACACACACACACACACACACACACACACACACACACACACCATCCTGATGACAGAAAACCAGACGCTGCAGCAAAGAGCCTGAAAATATTTAGATGTTCTCGGTCAGAGTTGAATAAATGGATGTGATGATAATTTGGGCACATTACTGAGTTTGGGGGGTAGGTGTGTCCCAAAGTTGGGGTCAGGACCCCACTGTGGGTCACCAAGAACTGCACTGGGGTCTTCAGGTGAGTTCCAGAATAAAAGATAAACTTGAAAAACAAACTATTTCTAGTGAGCTGAAGTGGTTTTCTTCATGCTCTGAAATATTTAGCCTTTAAAACGTGTTTGTATGATCAAACCAGAGATATCTGAGACCGAATAACAGAATATTTTGGGGGCCACTCATTCAAAGCTCATGATGCAGGACTACATCATATCATCAGATTGTTATTCAAACCTTAAAGCTGCAGGGATTTGGTCATGGGAACATGCACACTGAGGGTTTTAGATGAGTCAAGATCCGCATAAACCCCTCACTCAGTTGTTAGACTAAAGTCAGAGGCAAATAAAAATGAATTAGATTTTAAAAGCCTGTCTTGATTTCTTAGTCTGACCATGTTTTTCTCCCAATTTCGTAATGCAAGTGAAAACGTTCTTTTGTAGAGATAAAAAGTTTTCTATTTCATTTCTGAAAAAAGCCTTTTTTGTTGCTGATGAGCCATTTTTGTCTCACTTTTCGGGGTCAGCATTAAACAAAAATATATTATTTTTTCAAAAATCTCTTAGGGGCTTCTGTGTCTATATTGAAAAGTCTGGTCTTGAAGGCCATCTGAAGCCAAACGACACACTCTTCTTTCATGAAACATGGGGTTAGATGCTTCTCCTGGTTGCTATAAACCTGAACTACTTCTGCACCCCAGACAGTTCCTGCAGATGCAGACAAAACCAGTTAAACATAAGTGGGAAAACAGCATTTACCTTGAAAGTACCGGATCAGTTCCTGCTGGACCGTTGAGTCCACCAGGCCTCCAGGAAGCTCTCTCAGGTAACGTTTGAGTAAACTGGCCACGGTGCACAGGTCCGATTCAGAGAGCAGGTTGACGTCATCTCCACTCTCCAGCCGCAGCTTCAGAGTCTCCACAGCTCGAACGTTCCCGTTGACTCTGAACAGGCCGTCCTGATGCAGAGCTACAGAACACAAATGCTATTCAGTTACAGGTGACACGTGTTGGACTGGAAGCTACATCAATTATTCAATAAGATGTGTTTGGGTGGGGAATTAGATCCTTATGAAAGGTGTAATCAGTTCTGTGACGAAGGATGGAACTAAAATACTCCATTTTTCTAAACCTTTGCAGCAAATTCAAGCAAATCCTAAACCAATGATCTAACAGGAATTCCATGCTTTATAATCTAGTTTGGGTCAGATTACATTCAGGAATGTGTTTTAAACATATTCAAGTAAATAAACACCGGAAAACAGAATTATGTATCGACCTTTGATTCAACCATTTTGACACCTTATTAAAGAAGTTAGTTAAATGTAGACAAGTAATCGTTGATTATTTTATTGTAGACTCTCAGGGTGCCATCTAAACTTATTTGTAACTTCCCCCTAACAAATACATGATTAGAACATTTTTTTGCTATAAAATGCAGTTGAAAAATTTATTTAAACAAAAAATATGAAAAACCCCAATGCTGCTGATTGAAAGTGTGTTGGGTGAAACCATTGATTAAATTTCAAGCTCGTAGACAGGGGCGTAGACAGGGGTGCCTTCAAGCGGGGGCCAAGGGAGGCAAAGGTTTATGGTTATAAGTCAGCTGGTCCAACCTTTGACCCCCCACCCCTAATCCATACAGTATTGTATGCATATATTAGTATTTATACACAACGTTGTAAAGGAGAGGCCAAGTCTCACAGAGTTTAGTTTTATTTATTTGTGTTTTTGTTTGTTTATTTATTTATATCTCTTTCCTTTATTTGTCCTATACAGAACAAAGAACCAAAATGGGCCTAAATCAGGAAGTGATACCTTCCTTAAAGAGCAAGTCACCCCAAATAAAACTTTTTTTTGCTGATAAACTATATACACGAGTCTCTAATCATGCTGTAGACACATGTAGTCAATATTTTGGTACTTTAGTGCATCCTAGTTAAATTTAAATATTCTGCCTAAAACTCTCAGTGTTGCGCTCTCTTCAGGTCAAAACTGCACTAAATTTGAACTGAAATCTGCCAACGTCATTGGCTAGAAAGTACCCTATGATGTTAGCTGGTACCACATGATGTCACAATGCCGTTGTGTACCTGTGTGTGTGTTAGGGATGGGTACCGAATTCGGTACTTTTTAAGGTACCGAACGAATTCCATAGTACCGACCGAGCACCGATTCACGTCATTTCAAACGGTGCCTCGTTTCGGTACCCGTCCTTCATAACGAGAACTTGCCTAGACAGCTGCGCATGCGCAAGAGCGTTATGTCGTCGGTCCCTGCAAGCGAGTTGTAAACAGAGCAGCATGGTAGAAAGAAGAACGCACGCTAACGCTTGGGTCCATTTCACTAAATGTGATGGGTAACTGGGTGATGATGAAACCAGCGACAACGATCTAAGTGAGACATCCTCATCTTAATCTGCTCCGGTAGGTAAATAAAATGTTTAAGATAGCGTTAGCTTGATATGTTAGCTTCCGTTTCGCTAATGGTGCGTTCGCTTTCTCCTCGGAACTCCGAATTTCCGACTAGAAGAACATGAACGCGCACTAAAGTTTGGCTTCACTTTACTAAATGCGACGGGTGATTGGGTGAAGATGAAACCAGTGACAACGATCTAAGTGTGAGGCATCATCATTTAAATCTGCTCCAGCAGTTAAATAAACTGTTAAAGATAAAGTTAGCCTGATATGTTAGCTTCCATTGCCACCGTTGTTATCAGCTAATGGTGCGTTCGCTTTCTCCTCGGAAATTCTAACTTCCCAGTAGGAAAAATCAAATGGAAAAAGACGGCAAAAGGAATGAAGATACACTGTAAATTTAGTTCACAGAAAAGATGTTTGCTTCAGTTTAATTATCAGCTTATAAAACTACAACGACAATGTTAAAATACAAAAAGTTGAATGTTATTTATCGCAATATTTATCAAATATTGTTATATATTGATAAAAATATATAGTTAATTTTAAAAGTGAATTAAAATAATAAACACTCAAAAGTATTGAAAATTGGTACCGTTAAGTACCGGTATCGATTCCTAGGTACTGGCAATTAGTACCGAATCGATTCAAATGTCAAAGGTACCCATCCCTAGTGTGTGTGTGTGTTTGTTAGCGGCTCCACCCTCTCAATCTGTCAGACAACAGCATTTGTTGTATTTTTAAACAGGAAGTGGGAGAAGAGTAAGACTCAGGTAGGGGGGTGACTTGCTCTTTATTCTATATATGACATCAGCATAAAAAAGTTACAGATTTGAGTTTTAGTTTGTCGTTGATCTCTTTTGTGTTATAATACAGCAACCCGACTCCACTAAAGTTTCCTAAGGCCTTTTAATTTTTTGTTTAGGCTCTTTCTTGTTAAATCAAAGTATTTCTCTCCATCAGACCAGCAATGTTTGTGTTTGATGCACATTTATTTATTCCCTGCTTGACGTTTTTGCCTTTGCAGGGACACCATTGGTGACATAATTTTGCTGCTCTTTTAGATTTTGTAAACTTTTGTTTACCGAGGAAAGCCTGATAAGCTATCTACTGTTCTAGGATGACCTGGATGGGGGTGGGCGACTGAACCAGCCACTCTAAGCCACAGCCATTACCATCGTAACGGTCATCACCAAGGATTAAATGTGAGGTAATAAAATATTTACTAAAAGAATTATCAGTTTTACTTTCTCATACTGACATCTAGTGGTCAATCAGCAGCACCACAGAACGATGCAGAAAAGAGAAAAGCTCATTTGGACACAGAGATGAAGTTTGCAGATTCCAGCCTCTTCCACGTCTTTCTTTTCTAAATGAAAGAGTTAATATTTATGGTGTTCTACTCCAAAAATGACTGAGATGTGAGACTGAAGTATGCTGACTGTAACTTTAATGGCATTCATGGTGTTTCTAATACAAACAAAATACAGTTCATGAGTTCTCATTCTTCAGGAACAGTGTTAGCATGACAAGAATGAGTCAAAACTTCTTTAGTGCATTACTTTGTGGGGATTACTCATGCAACGACAGAAGTGATACAACTAAAGCAGGTTGTGTTTGTCTAAATGATTTTAACTCAACAAAATACAGAAACAACATCCTTAAAACAATTAGTCATGTCTAAAAAAATAGAAACCTAGTTAAATGGATATCTTGTAAAAACTTTGCCAGAACCTTTAAAACTACTAAAACAATGGAAAAGAAGGTAAATTAAGCTTATTTCCTCACCATGCTGGATGAGATACTCCACCATCCTCCTCACCACCAGAGGCACTCCTTCCTCCAGGAGACCCTGCTCCTGCAGCTCAAACATGGACACTCCAAACAGCTTGGTGTGCTTAGCTGCCACGGCTCTGGATCTCAGGATGGGGATCTGCACCATCTTCTTCATGTCCTCCCTAACCTGCACAGCCGCCTTGTTGTGCTGCAGGGAGATCAGAGCGAATAAATGAGAGGTCATGCATGCTGGAACCCACTTGAGCTGGCGGTGAATTAAACGCACTCCTGTGTTTGCAGCGTCATGCTCTCAGGACAGTTTGTGCTCAGTGCTGGAGAGGAGGAACAGGGGAAGGCTGTATGTGTGTTGCTACCACACATTTCAGGTTACCAGGAAACACCTCCTAATTAAAAGGGCACTTTCAGAAACACACACACACCTGCATATTTAGACAGCTATTGAAGCGCAATATAAAAATACTCTGTAGGTGAAAAACTGAATGAGCAAAAATTATGAGACTAACCTGTAAGCAAATGATAAAATGTAATTTTTATAATTTAATGTAATTAAATGCAATTACACGTATCTTTAAAAGTGGGACTAGGGTGGTCACAGTGTGAAAATTTAACCTCACGGTTATTGTGACCAAAATTAACACGGTTTTCGGTATTATCGCGGCGTTTTATTTTAAACATGCTACATTTTCACACAATTAACTAATTCATTTACATTTTTTTTACTGTTTGAGCATCGGAACGAGTCCCCGCGCTGAGAGAACAAACATCTCAGCCCTGAAGCCGATCTTCATCCGCATATGTCACACGTCACATGATCAGGAAGCAGGCCATCCATATGAGGAGATCGTTTTGGGCCGCTGTCGGTACAAGATCTGCTCGGGTGACCAACTTTATCAACTTAATTAAAGGCCTATATGACAACATAAACAGCTGTGTCATCCTACCAAAAAACACCACCCCTAGATTTAATATTAATGTTGGAATCCCACAAGGTTGCCCAATCTCACCATATCTATTCATTCTGGTTACTGAAATGTTGGCATTGTACTTAAAAAACTGTGATAACATTGCAAAATTAAATGTTCTAGGCACTGATCTAATTATAAGTCAACTTGCAGATGACACCACGCTTTTTTTAAAGGATTCTAAACAAATTTCTATAGCCATCCAAAAGATTCAACTCTTCTCTGAGGCCTCAGGTCTGAACCTAAATCTAAAAAAATGTGAACTTCTAGCCATTCACGACACAATGTTAAAAGAAATACATAATATCCCTATAAAATCTGAGGTTAAATATCTAGGAGTGACCATTAACAAAAACCCTAAACTTAATTCAGTCTTAAACTTTGAAAATAAACTTAAAGAAGGAATTTCTAAACTTAACCTGTGGCTCCAACGTGACCTTTCTATTCTAGGTCGCATCTATCTCACCAAAATGGAATGTCTATCAAGATTAGTTTACCCAACCTGTAACCTTGCCTTACCAAACTACCTAATTAAAAAAATAAATCAAACAAACTTTAACTTTATTTGGAGAAACAAACCACACTACCTTAAAAAGGCTCATATGACTAAAGAAATAAAAGATGGAGGTTTAAAGGCCATTGACTTTGAATGTCTTAATGGCACCCTAAAGATTAAATGGTTAAAATTTTGGTTAAATCACCCAGACTTCTTTTGGTATAGTATCCCCAATTACATCTTTAATAAAATTGGTGGCTTAAAAATTCTTCTCCTAACTGACTACAATATAAACAAACTCCCCATTAAACTTTCAGAGTTCCATAAACAAATTTTATTGTATTGGAAAATGATATATGTACATAACTACTCACCACACTCTATAATCATTTGGAACAATCAATTTATATTGCACCGAAACAAATCATTATTCTATAAAGATTGGTTAGATAACAATATATGGTCTATTATACACTTAATGGATGTAGATGGTCAGCTCTTGAATTATGACAATTTCTGCAGAAGATACAATTTTAAGGCTTCTGAGCTTGACTTTAACAGGTTACATAATGCACTTCCAAAACAGTTGATCATCCAAGCCCGAGAATATCTAAAACATCAATGTTCTATTCCAATCCTTCCTATCTTATCTATTAAAGGTCTTCTGTTAACTGACAGAAAATGCAACAATCTAACAATAAGATCAGCCTTAAATGAATCTCTTTTTCCTGGAAAAACAAACAAAAATAACATAATTTACAAATTTGATAAAATATCTGTTGAGAAAATAAGAACTATCTACCTAAAATTACCTATACCACCGAAAGCTAAAGAAACCCACTTTAAAATAATGAATGCAATCTATCCTTCAAAAGAGTTGTTAAGAGCTCGTTTTAATATTGATAGCAACAACTGCTCTTTTTGCGAAAATCACATAGAAACTATAGATCATATATTTTATGAATGTCAGAAAACACAATTGTTCTGGAAAAAGCTAGAGATGTGGATCAGAACTAAAATACCACTCCCAGTTCACATCACTAAAGATATGATAATATTTGGGATTATATTCAATAATAAAGATAAAGAACTCTGCTATAATATCATCCTCTGTTTAGCCAAATTTTTTATCCATTAACAACGAATTTTGCAATCATCCCCTGTCTTCAATGTTTTTTAATAGAATTTCAATTATATTTAAAATCCCTGAAACAACTCAACAAATATGGTGAAAATCTAAATAACATGTTAGCTGAACTTCCAAAGTGATTTCCTAATTCTATATGATATATGCCGTACCCTCATTGAAAGCTGTACTTGTTCTTCATGTTCTTTTGTCTCTTGTTGTTCTCTTTTACTGGATACTTACAAATGTTATATTAACTGCTCCTTTTGAATTTAAGTTTTGAACTTAACATTGTCAAGGGGCCATGTTTGTTTGTAAATTTACTAAATTAAAAAAAAGACTCCTTCAAAAAAAAAAAAAAAAAAAAAAAAAGATCTGCTCGGGTGCAAGATCGGCTCGGGGTCCGTCGACTGCCGATGACGTCAAAGTAGTTGATTGGCTGAACATGAACCTTACGGAACATCGTTACGATGTTATCACGTTACGATGTTATCACGTTACGATGTTATCACGTTACGATGTTATCACGTTACGTTGGTCCAGGCAAATTTTTCTGTTGGAAAGATGGACAACTTTTACAAAGAAATTCATCATTACTTCTTTGAAAATACTCTTTTAGCATAGAGCTGCATGTATATTAGGGCTGAATGATTACTGCATGTGCAATTAAATTGCGTTGTGACAAAAGGAGATTTTCTAATCGCAAAGGCTGCAATTTGGCAGCGAGTGGTTTGCGCAATGCTAATATACATGGAAAAACCCATAGGAATGCTAATGCTAATATCGCCGATTACATTATTACAAATTAAGAATTAGAAAACGTGCCAAATGATTACATTTGGAGTCTAATAGAAAGTAAAACTACCATCAATCAAATAAGTACAGACAGGTATTTTAGTAAAGCCAGAAAACTTTAAGCTCCAGAGTTTTGGCTAGCAGCTATGAGCGTAACTGGACAAGACGTCAAAAACTCTAAACACAAAATACTTCAATAAACGGGACACACTTCTTTCCTGCAAATACAATTTCACAGGTGTTGCTAATACCTATGATCCTTCAAGGGATGTGCTCAAAGAGGAGTTCAACATTATGAATACAATATAGTGTTTTATTTTACAAATACCATTATAAACACAAACTTACGTCATAAGAAAGATTATTTTAATAACAAAACTGCTAAATTCTTTCCAACAGTATAAAGATGTGTAGTGTATTTTGTCAGAGTGGGTTTGCCGTACTTTGACGTCATCGGCAGTTGAAGGACCCTGAGCCGATCTTGCATCCGAGCAGATCCTGTACCGACACCGTTCCTGTGAAAAAAGTGAGGTGCGAACCGGAAAAGCATCTGCCGATCACAATTCAACAACAGATTATGAAAGAACGGATAACGCTGAAAACACACGGATTCTTCCTGATGTAAGAGGTGAGTCTCCTCTTTGTTTTGGTTATTTTGGCGTCGACATCATCCTAGCGTGCAATGTTCTGTGACTCTTAAAAAAACAGTAAAAATGGTGAGAAACGCTGGCAGCGAAGGCCGTTAGTGATCAGGAAACAGCTGGCAGTGAATGAGTTAAACAAACCTTGTATGTCAGGAAATATTGTCCTCAGTTTGTGTCTAAATTTAGCCTAAACGTGTTATTTTGTAATTATGTTGTTTATTTGTTTACATTTTCCCCTTTAGTCTTTAAAATACCAATATTTGCCCATAACTTCTTATTTTTTGTCTGTTTAATGTCATCATTTTAAAAATATTAGATCACATGATACTCTGTACTCAAGTAGCCTTCTAATCAGATACTTTACCCTTACTTGAGTAATAACCCCTATATCAGGAAAATATTGTTCTCGGTTTGTGTCCTTCCAGTGAGCTTTGCTGATTTGGGAAAATGTCATAAATTCATAATTATTCTCGGAGAGAGACCAACTCTTATCTGCCCCTGGGAGCCCCGTAATGCATAGCGTCATTTCAACATGGGAGTGTCCGCGACACGGTTTATATGCAGGTAGCGGCGCTGCGGCTGCTTTATATAGCAACTCGTTGCATTCTCCCTCAACCCAAATCCTGGGATCACGCATTTTAGCTAAAACGCTAACGTTAGCTTGCCTTGCGTTGACTGTAGAGTTGTGGGTGATGGTCACACAGATGTGTCATGAGATTTGAAGCGTTGCTGCCTTTCACAGACACTTTTTCTGCACGTGCTGCAAACAGGATAGCCGTCTTCTATCAACTGTCCCTCGGCATTCTTCAGATATCCAAAAAATGCCCGTACTTCCCACTTTGTCTTCTTTGAGGGATAATAAATGTCCTGAGCGCTGCCGTCTCCTCCTTTGGCCATTATTTCAGCTTTAGCTTCAAGAAAGTTTTGGTTGTAAACAACAAAGTGCGCATGTGCCGCCGGCAACTTCAGCAGATGATACGGTGGCTGGTAAGGGTCACCGTGCCAACACAGCAGCCACGGTAATCCACCGAGATAATATAGTTTTTTTAAAAACAAGACGGTTATTATTATTGTCAACTTTTTTACCGGGGTTTACCACTACATCGGTTACTGTGACAACCCTAAGTGGGACTGTGTTAAAGAAGACATATGCAAAACTCACAG